GGAACAAACCCCCGGACCAAAACCAAGCCCGGGTCCCCCCCCCCCCCCCCCCCGACTACGCCAACAAGAATAGATAACCACCGTCTCCCCCCGCAACGATAGCCGAGACAAGACGGTGACACCAGCAAATCCACCAACTTCCATAAGGCAACACCAACGACCATGTAACGAGCGAATGCCATCGGAAGGCTCGCTCACCCTCTTCAGCTCCTCGTCGTGTAGGTAGTCGCACGCACCCAGGTCTTGCTTCGTGTTGCTGGTTGCAAACAAAACAAAACCGACCAACAGAGCGAGAGGCGAGGCAAGAGGACGGTTGGGTCAGTCCCACAATCAAATCGTGTGGTACGTATGCATAGATCAATACATACTTTTTGAAGTACAATTAAGCACCTAAGGTAGAAAAACAACAGAAAGCCAACCACGACAGACGCCACCCCCCCCCCCAACGAAACAACGAAAAAGCGTTAACGGGCCGACTCGAACAATAAATCAGACACACACAGACATGGACCGGCCACAAGAGCGCGATGAGCCAAAGTAGCTCTCCGCACGGGCAGAAATAAGCAAAAGACGAAAAGAACGAGAGACCAGAACCACAGCAGGGGCGGTACCCCCTTCTCCCTTGAGGGCGAAGAAAGAAACGCAAACGAGGTAAGAATAGGGAACACGATAGGGCCGCCATGGAACAACCACACCAGCAGCACAATCGAGAGACAAGAAACTACCGAATGCAGGAGCGGACGGACGAACAACGTCTCCACGGGAACACCACAACAGCAGCATACTCCAGAGAGAAGAATCTACGCGTAGATAGGAGCGGACGAAATAACAAAAAACGAACATATTTACATACCTGAAGAGGTCGTGGGGGCAAAGGCCGCACAGGTAGGCCTTGCACACCCGCTCGTCCTTGAAGTCGTCGACGACGCCCTCCTCGTTGTCGAGGTTGCGGTTGACGCCCATCAGCTCATCTGTTTCGGTTTTGTTGGTTGTTGTTCGTCTCGGCGGTTGGTTGGTCGTTCTCGGTGACAAAGCAACAGTGCTGTAGCCCTCGTGAGGATATGAGTAAGCTAGCTTAGTTTAAGTGCAATAGGGGGTATGGGGTGGGGTCCGGGGTTAGGGATAAGAAACCCCGCTCTCTTTTTTGTCCCACCACTGGTGTGGTACGCATAGATGAATTAACAAAATCCTCGTCAAGGCGGCCCCCAATACAAGTGCATACTTCCAACGCCAAAGTCGAAGGCTCAACGCCACTGCTGCTGCTGTCTTCCAACGCGTAGTCAGTCTACACTAAACCGTGGCCAAGTGTGTGCTGCAGGGTGCGTTTTCAAGCGCACGAGGCGATAGACTGCTATGATACAGCCGTGGCGGCCGGCAGACAGCAGTAGACTACATACTCGAGAATATGAGGCTGGCTAGCCCTTCTCGCGAAAAGTACTTCCAAGTGAGAAAATCGAGTATAAATGAGAAACACACCTCAGCCAGTGGGTGGATCCTACTGAAAACTCTTATTTAGTGGCCTACGCATACAGCAGTAGTAGTACCGGTATTCTCGGCGGTGGTGTGATGACGAAACGAGAAATTGAGCCCTGACCCCGTATACTTTTATTGCGTCCCCCAAACCGAAAATAACACACCAAAACTGATCTCATGATCTCATGGACAACAGCTTCTAGAATGCGCCGCGGTACGCTATCTATGTGCAACATGGATGTGTAAAAAATGCACGTTCTTACTTGCGGCCCCCAACTGCTATACTATGCACACTACGCTGAATGCAGGTGTTGCCTTCTGTGGAATCGGTATCGTGCAAGGAGGATCAGTTTTAGGAAATGTTGTACGCACACAAACAGAATTACTACAATATTACCCGTTTGAGAGAAATGTCTCACTGGAAGGGCATGTTGTTGGTGAAGTCATTACAGCACGTAGCGGGGACGAACAACCTCTGGTGTGGATCCTCATCCTTGTCCACGATCCAGCTCGAGGGGGAAAAAAAAAACTCTCCTACTTGTGGTGTCTACCGGCTGTCTCCCCGTGTTGCCTGGCCGACAACATCTACTGCTTGTACATAGAGTACACAAATGAACCAATTTTGAAGTACTTTCTGCCTAACGCACTACAGCAGTATCCCGGTTATTAGGCTATTTGGGTCTACAGAGAAGAACGTCACGACATCCCTTGCACTTCCACGCCCAAGAGCCTTCCTTATCTTCCTTTGCAAACTTGCAAACAGAATAATCACAGAAATGCGTACCAGGGATGTGCAGCAGTAGAGACTACTGTAGCAGCCCACACACCCGCACATCTTGGCACACGATGAATAGCAGGGCAGGTAAACGCGCGCCTCTGCCGCTCTTGGATTCTACCGCGCAACCAAACCCCATGCACCTACGTCCTACTTCTAAGTGAGAACGTAATCAACGCGCCAACACTTCTGAGGTGTCATTTTAATGTAGCTGGCTTCACGATTTCCTCGAGCAAGGCTTGATGACGATGAGGCGACCGCCGCTCTCTTGGCTGCGTGTTCCAGCAGCTCTCACCCGCCGTCAACAAAGGGCAGGCGGGGGCTACACTCACGTTTACAAACCCGAAGCTTGTTCCGTGTCCTGCCCAGAGCACACGACATGCACTAGAAGCATCACAACGGAGGTGGAATACGACGACCGTCCAGCGAGTGGAGGGCCACCCTCAATCAATCCTCTCTCTCACCTAGCAGGGCCCGCTGCGAATCCATCTGACTCGGCTTGCTGTCCCGCCATTTGCCCATGATGTACCTTTCGTGACCAACAAAGGAAACGGTATCCCTCGCTCACACCACACGCACCAGCACACCCACGGACTGTGCACAGGAACACGATGAACTCTTTAGTACGCAACACACCGTTGCCAAAGGTCGCCCTCCTTTCGATATCTCTCTCCTCGCTGCTCGCTGCGCGCTTGTGTTTCTGCGCCACTGCGCGCAGTCGTGGAACGGTGGGGCAACGCAACTGGGGCATTTGGAGAGTGGGGGAGGGGGGGGGGGTACGCGAATGAGGGCATCTTTGTGGTCGAGCGATATCTTTGTTCCGCCAAAATACAGCAGTTGTAGCGGCCCATCAGGCCACATTACTTCCTTCTATCAGTGCTCGGTGACCAACTGCCATACGCTCTTCCGTGATACTGCTGTCATCATGATCCGAAGAGCTGAAGGGCTGCGCACCCCACGCAAGTCGATGGCGGTGAGAGTTGTCGCCAAACGTTGCAGACGATGCACCAAACGTTGCAGACGATGCACATCGCACGATGCTGACGTTATTTTTCGCACGAGTTCAACAGAGAGCCCAGGGCACAGCAATGCCGATGGCATCTAAACAGAAAACCACACGCGCCATCTGTGGCTTGCCTTAACCTCCGCGCACTGCGTTGGCAGGGCGGGGGATCGGAGGCGCGGGTTCCCTTGACGGCAGAGCAAAAGAAGGAGGTTGACGAAGCCTTTGGCTTGTTCGACTACGCCAAAACCGGCGTCTTGGGCTTGCACGAGGTCAAGGTGAGAACGAAACACACACAACATGTGCAGCGCCTGTGTGGTGCAGCCTACCGGAGTGCATACTACAGTATCACGCAAGAACTGTATGGTGCAACCGTCGCACGGTAGACATGGGCGTCGCTACGCGCTACATACTCGCCGCGGTCGTTCGGGAACCAACGGGTGGGGTTGACAACGGTCCCAGCCAGCCACAAAACATGACGCTGCGATGGTGATGAGCTACGTGTCTCTAAGAAAACCGTTGTTTGTTGCCCTTCTTCTGTAAGCTCAACCGATAGACCCAACCAACGATCAGTTTCGTCTTACAATGTCCTCGAAGGTACTCATTCGGTCGCTCGGGTTTCCTGTCCGTCGTGCCGAGGTGCCTCTCATCGTGCACCGCGCTAACCCCGACTCGGATGGGGAGGTCGATCTGCCGACTTTTCGACTTATCAGTAAGTCTGACTCGTGTGACTGCATTGGTAAGGGAGGCTTACACCTCCTGTGGCCACGGCCTCGAGAATGCCGGCCAACTATCGGAAATAATACCCGGGCCACAGCAATTAACATGTTTGGTGCGGCGCACCTGAGTTCGATGAACAAATCGGCAAAATCAGACAAGGTCAAATCGGGTACTGCGCACCACAATACATCTCTGACGCTGTACTGTTTGACTTTGGTGAAGAAAGAACGACATGTCATACGCTCATGGATATCTTGTCCTCAATCTCGTGGTCGCGTCAGATGCATGGTGTACAGACTACTGTACGCCAACAACTTTTTTTGTGAACTTGGCCTTGATTCCAGTATCGATTTCCCTACCCACATCTCGACTCTCGACCCGTGAAGACACACGAGCCAACTGCGTTCACAAACGCGACTCTTTTTTTCCGTTGTTTTATTGTGGTCAACCTGCACCTTTCTGTTAGTGGAGACGAGGTATGCAAAGCTGGACCCCGAGGAAGAAATCAAGAAGGCCTTTCGGCTTTTCGACATCGAGGGTACCGGGAAGGTATCAGAAGGCTTCCGCAATACTGCACACGTGTGCCGTGTTAGCTTTTAGCAGGTGCATCAGTATGCACGGTTGATGGATGCTTCCAAAGAACAGCTCGATGCCGTTGTGTTTATCCGGGCAGTAAAATGTTTTGGGATATTGTCGGCTGAAAGGAACCGAAGATCAAGACTTCAACCGGTGCATTCCAGAAGTAGTATTGACTTTGCTCTTAGTTTAGGCGGACCCTGTCTAAGATCTGAATATCAAGCGACTGACAACTCAACAGCTCACTGTCGGGGAAATCCCAATCCATCAGCAACAGGACCGTATTTTTTTCCACGTGGTTGAGAGCACAATAATATCTTGCCTACGTTCCTTTCCACTGACGTGGCGAAAATTGGATTGTCCCGTCCGGCGAATCAAGGCAAAGTCATATAGTGGTCATGTTTTTCGCGGCGTTGAACTCTCCATGTCTGGTCAGCACCTTGATGATGTCGGCGCCACCCAAGGCCGACACGTACGGGGTAGCGAGCGACGATCATTTGCTTGGTACCGTATTGCAGCACCACCACGAGAATTTGGGCACTTTGCGACAATTGTGGGAGGGTCATCAGAACGTCCTCCCCTGAATCTGTGTCAAATTATTCGCGCTCGGCCTTGTTAATAAACGGGCAAGAGCTTGGCCCGCTACGATGAAACACAACAACTCCGCCACAAGCCCTTGACACCCCGTGTTTCATGCTTTTTCTGGCCTTTCCCCGATCTCCACCAAACCCAGCATGCAAACGGCTCGCGTACAACGCTCCTCGTGTTCGGCTGCACCATGTGCTCACATGCCTTTCCTTTCGTTAACGGTCCACGCGAACTAATACTTGACCAGCAACCAATGCTGCAAACAGTCTCGGCGAGACTCACTCCTAATAGACCAACGCTCATGTCCTTGTGCGTGTGTTTGTGTTTTGTGTCTTGTCTTTGGGACACGAATTATCGTACGGTGAATGGGTAGATTACCGTCCAGAACCTCCGACGCGTGTCGAAGGAGCTCGGAGATAACCTCGGGGAACGCGAGCTACAGGCGATGATTGACGAGTTCGACAAGAATCTAGACGGGAGCGTCTCCCTTGATGAATTCGTGGTAAGCGTTAGTAGTTGCAATTCGGAAGGCATTTTCCACGTTCGGTCGCTCCAACAAGTCGCCTAGCATGACACTACACTGAACCGAACTAGTTGGTCTAATATGTCCCCCGTTCATGAATGTGCGCCCTCACTTGCCACCCCCCTCCCACTTATGGCCGTCGGCTTCCGCGTGACCAGTACATCATGAACGAACAGAGGAAAATCGAGAGCTGACAGGATGGGGATTGCGGCGATCTGTCAGGTCTTGCAACCGTGGCAAGAGGCGAGAGCGGTGCCCTTGTCGCCCGAAGGGCGTGAATTAGTGCGTGCGTGACCCGAGAGCCCATTATGTTATTCCACCGCGCCCCTTTCGGGAACAAACGAGCGTCTTGGGTCATGCTGTGGGACAAGTGGCCCACACGAATGCATCCTCGCAGCGGTAGACCATTGCGTGGAAAGCGGGGTACGTATTGGCCAGAGAGGAGAGGCTTTCTTATAGCGCGAGTGTTTGAAAGGATCGGCGCCGTTGCCTAAGATGCCGCAATACTGTGCCCCACACACGTGGAAGAATCGCTCTCTTCTGTTCCAGACTATTACCAACGCATACCAACCCAGGCACAAGAGACACAAGGTTGTCCCCATTGTTCAGCAGGGCGTTTGGGTTTTTCGGGTGTTTCATTTCACTCGCGGAGGTCGTGTGTAAACTATAGCCCACGAGTTGTCCGGGCGTTCTTAGCTCTCCCTGCAAAATGCTGTTTTTTCCCGCCGTTTCGAATCAACGTTGGTCTAGGTCGTGAAAACGAGTCTCAATGGAAAGCGGTTTTTCCCACACCCTTTCGTGTGGGTACACTTGGGCGAAGGAACGACTGCTGTCCGACTTTTGCTCTAAACGAGATTTTGGAACGGTTGGTTGTTTGATCTCGGGGTATTGTAAGTACGAACTGCCGGATCGCTATGATTACCGGTTACGGTTGTATCGGCGAGACTGAAAACTCTTGGTACGGCACTATGACATTTCCTGCATCGAGTCCGTACGGTGACTTTGGCGTGGGGAACGAGCTGCTAGCGTGATTCATCTAAACGAAGAGTGGGCCGTCATCTCTACCCTTGGTGCTGCCTCGCGCCGCATGAAGGTTCACTGAAGAGAAATATATTTTCATGTGTTCTCTCCTGTCGAAACCTGTTTGCGTCAAGGGTTCGTGTTTTGCATTTCCACATCAAATGCAATCTAAATACACATGGCTGCCACAACCTACAGTAAGTAGTCGAGGCAAGCATGACTTCCGCCAAAGAAGTGTTGCTTTTCGCAAACGTACACCACTTGTTCTCGAAAATAATGCTGCCTCCTCTTAGCGCGTAGCGTAAGCTCTGTCCGGGATTTGTTTCGCGGCACACGAGCACGAGTAGCAGCCAGTGAAGATTCACGAAATGACTGCGTGCGGGTCGTCTCACACGAATTCTTTGTATACTCCCTTCAAAGACCCCGAAAAATCGCCTCACGGCGCACCGAACAGCCCCAATAGTGTCCACTAATATTATACTCAAAGGTCTGCAAATACGCGCTGCTGCCACTTGGTTACGCGACACGCACACACACATCAGCCAGGCCAGCAAATTGCATCCGATCGCTTTGTAATCTCCATCACCTCGAAAAGTCAAGCGCAGCCGCAGCGAGAGCGGGACCAGAATCTGAGTGAAGCTCTTTTTGCTATCTCAACCACCACAAACATCAAGACAAGGACAAAAAAAGAACGATCCCCCTCCCCCCCCCTCCTTCCCTCCCCTCCATGAAACGCGGACAGAAACAAAATGAAGGTCCGCGATATCACGGAGAAATAATTTACGAGAAGTAAGACACAATCTGTGCACCGCTGAGAAAAACAAACGAAGAAATCATACCATTTCAGACATGGCACAGAAACGACCCGGTATTGCAAACTTCCTTCTCTTCCTTCCTCTTCCTTATACTCATGGCCAAGGCCGGAGAATCAAGGAGCTACAATGGCCTGATCCCCCCCCCCCCCCCCCCGCCCCCACTAAAACTAGAAGCGTAGAGACGATATTGGTCTCGGTTGTACGCAAGGGATGCGAATACCGAGCAAGGACGCACTCTATCGCTCGCCTTTGCCCAAGGGCGCATGATCTAGCCAATGGGGTCAAAACACTCCGTCGTTGAAACTTAAACTTCCTAACACCCAACCTTGTTGCCCCCCGCGCGCCCCTGGCGAAAGAACTCCCACACAAAATTCACACAGCAAAACCGCCCGCCCTCTTCTGTGAAACACCAACCCTTTTTCTCCCCAGCCTCGCCAAGGCCAGAATCTGGGGGGCGCGCGGGGGTATGCCTCCCCATCGTTCGCGGACTCCTTTCGATCCACAACGAAAGGGGGTAAAACGAAGAGCATTTTTGTCTCTCACCACACTACCCGATGCAAGACAAACCGCTGAACACATGCCTAGCGTTCGTACATGCACGCCAGCATACGCCAAGACAAACTATTAGCTCGCTTACTCTTCTTGCCGAACTAGACTCAAGTCAACCCCGGTAAATGTGTCTGAAGGGTGAGAAACGCCCGCAGTTGGAGTCCAGTCATCCTTCAACATCATGAAAACGATGTAGACGAAGCCTGGAAGACATCATCCAACCATACAGTCAGGAAACGGCACAAGAAAGTCTCCCGGGTACGCCCTAGGTCCTCTCTCACACCAACCAAGGCAAAAGATCAGTCACGTGTATTTTTTATCCTTACAATATCTTCAAAGTTTTTAACCCTTCAAGGGATTCCACCAACCGCCACACACACAAGAAACAATACGTTACAATTGTAACTCGAAGAGAAAACCTTCTCCCCCAACCAAGCAATTTTCTGTCCTCCAGCCCTGTCAGTCCCGAGACCTTCTACTTTACACACACACGCACAGAACAGCACCAAAAGTCGGAGGGAAGATACCACACACCCCCCTCGGTTTGATCGTTAGCTAGAACGTTTGTAAGCGAAGATGGGTAACATTTTACATGGAAAATAACCACGAATCCTTCCGGCCCATGAGCCCACCGTGAGCTCGGAACGTGGGACGAGGCCAAGGCCTAACCCAAGAAGTCAGCACTGAACAACATCAAGACACGTTACATGTCTGCAACTCCCACCCCCTCTTTGTATACTCCAGGCCGGCACGCTTTGACTTGTTTTTCCTCTACGACTCCCTTTTACCACGCACTTGACTGCGTGTGTGCTTGAGGCAGTACAGCAGTACACTATTTATTTCACTTGCACCTTAATACGGATGGCAACGCTAGGCGAACAAAATCTCAACACTGGGCACCTGCCCCAAGTCGTTCCACCCTATATCTATTGTAACATGCACAGGTCTTGGTGCCCGGAAGTTGATATCACATCGTCATAGCCCGAGCCTTTCTTTTACCCCGGCTTGGGGAAACTGAGACTTGCCCTAGCTTTTCAGCGAAAAACCTTCATACGATGAGATGACCAGCCTTCCCATCCCCCACTGGCGCCGGACTGAACATCCTCGAGGCAGTGTTCACATTCTAAGAGCAGCAAATACAGACGTGTTCAATATTACAACGAAAACATTCTACGATGCACACAATCACGGGGCAGAATATGCGTAGGCCGTCGAAGAACAGAAGATCTCCTGCACTTCACAAATTCTCTGCTCGAAACTACTCCACGAGCACGACACGTTTCCCTACACACGCCATGCACACCCCAACCGCGTGTGTAAAGATCTTCGACACCGCGGTGGATCTGAACGCTGTGCTTGTTCACAGGATCCGAACAAAAACACGTACTTTTTAAACAAAAACACATACCGTTTTCTGCAATAGCCTGCGTTTCACCCTCCCAATAATACACCAACCGATGTTCAGAAGGTCCCGATTCGTTCGTGTCGCTCGCCGATTCCGCGCTGGACCCCCGAACGCCAAACGTCTCCGGTAGAGGGCCACCTTTCACCCTTGTCTATTCAGCACTATCAACGAGAAACAACAGCCCATCCTTCTAACGAAAAACACTCCGTATCCTGTGTTGTGCGCATGGCAGTCGACATCAAACCACGTTTTGAGTTCACAACGAGCTGCGGATGGCCGGGCGTCCCCATACTCACCACCCAACAACAAACCAGCATCACCACCACCAAAATCCAATCGACATCAACGGGGGCGATAACCACACACTTCGATGAAGAGGCACAAGCGCCGCCTGTCCAGCTTGCGTCACCGTTTGTCACACATGCTGTTTTTTTATCCCACATACGCACCGAACTTCCAGCGCTAAAAACACAACTTTCTCCGCCTTCAGAGCAAGCCTTGGCCGGCGTTGCCGTCAACGCCAGCGGTGACGCCACTAGCAACCAGCACCAACACCAAGACTAGCACCAAAAATAGTGCCACCAACACCACCACTGCCGGGAAGCTCCACGGTACCCTCAGAGAGCGAGAGCTCTCTGTCCAGCTCCAGCCCTAGCTCCGAGGTTTTCATCCTTTCTCCCGGTCCGTACCAGCTGACCGGGTAAGGGTCCACGATGCCGAAGTCGTCACAGCAGTACGTCCCCACGGCCGCCGGCCCGACCAGGTTTTCGTCGTGCGAACGGAAGCCGTCACCGCCGAGAAATAGAGCGGGGTCGGGCCCGGGAGCAGGGGCGGCGGAGGGGGGTGCGGAGGGCAGGAGGAACGAACCAGTTGCCAGGTATCCACCGCCGTCGCCGCCGCCGTACCCTGGGATCCCTCGGAACGATCCCGCTCCTAGGCCCGGCCCTCCACCCGCGGTGCTACCGATGCCACGGCCGTTGCCCGCGGTAAAGGAGGACGTCGTCGGGAACAGAGGCTTGTAGGAGGGCGGGAGCAGGGGGGGGTTCTGCTGCTGCTGCTGCGGCGGCGAGGCGGTGATCGGTGCGGGTGACGCGGCCGGCATTCCTGGACCCGGAAGCTTTCGAGGGCTGGCCCAGCCGCCGCTGGACTCGTAGCGAGACGGCAGACAGGAACGCTTCCGCTGCCACCGATTCTCCCGCTCCTGCCACCGCTCCAGAAAGGGGGTGTTCGCTGCGGTCTCTGCAGCGACGACCGCGGTGGCGGGGGGAGTATCGAAGCCCCCGGTCACCGATCTCGAGCCCGGCTCGAGGATTTGGTGGCGTTTGCGCCGGTGGCCCTTTTCGTCACGCTTCGCCGCCCCTGCCGGCACCTCCTTCCGCTTCTTGGACGACATCGCTTGATCCTGCTGCTGCTGCTGCTGCTGCTGCTGCAGCTGCTGCTGCTGGCCTTGGTTTTGGACCTCCTGAAGGGGGGGGGGCGAGGTCGAAAGCCGGAGCGCGGCAGAGAGGAGGCACCGGGGGGGTTTGGTGTAATAAGCACAAATCATCGCTCGCTCGGCGCGGAACAGCAGGCCTCGCGAACCGTTTTTCGAGCATGGGATAACTCAGAAAACGAAGCGATGGCACAAGAGGGAAGGAATGGCCTAGTGCTGACGGCAGACCCAGCGCCGCCAAAGATACCCAAGCGAACGATGATCGCCCGAAAAGCCTCGAGGTTACACCGAACCAGAGCACAGAGCCAAATTGGCCGCTGCCACATACCGAAACACCGAATAACTTACGAGTAATCCCTCCAGAGTGGGCTCGTGAAAGAACAGTGTCATCAAGGGGTGGTGCAAGATGAAACTGAAAGCAGGCAGCAGGACCAGCCCACCGCCGGCTGCCAGCTGCCAGTTGGGTTCCTCCGTGAGGAAGCCAGCAGGGGATGTAGGCTCGAGGCAGGGGAAGTACAGGCTGCGGTCTAACTGCTTACAATCTCAGCAGCTTGACACACTCGAGCTTGAGGTTTCTCAAGTGGTGGCGCGTTCCGCACCGAAAGAATACACCTCAGAGGCACACACCTCAGAGGACAGCGCGATGCACGACGAGTGCAAAGCCGATTTTCGCCTACCAAGAGCACAAAGGAAGGGCAGCCAGGACACTTCAACACTCACCCAACAAACGCGCCTGACGCCTAACTTAAGCGTCTAGCACTCACCAAGATGTCGTCGCGTCCAGAACCTTCGTGGTCGTTGTCAGCTTCCGGCAAACCTTGGAACAGCCAGTCGGGCCCCAACGATGCGTAGCCCAAGGTCCCCAACCCGCCCCAGGAAAATGCACCATCGCCAATGCAGATGTCGGCGTTCCCGTTACCGACGCCCTTCCCACGACCGACAATGCTCCTATCGCCACCACTTCCGGATCGGATGCCGTTGTTATGGGTCTTACTTCCGCCGCCGGCACCAGGCCCGTCGTTGGTGTCCGACCCGCTGTCGGCGTCGTCAAAGTCGTCCTCGAGCAACCGGAACAGATGGTGCCGCCGCCCTTTGCCTTGACTTCCACCCGCGTCGCCGCCCTGGCTTCCAACCGTGTCGCCGCCCCAGCCAGGGCCAGAGCCGGAAAAGAACGAGATGGGCCTCGACGTCGAGGTAGAGCCCAAGCTGGTGTTGAAGGAGTGGCTGGCGAAGTCAGCGCTCCCTCCTCCGCACCGGTTCTGATGAGGAGGGGTAAAAAGGGGCAGGTTTAGAGGTAGTTGAAGGCAGAAGGGGTGTCGGGTGGCGGTGTGTTGGCCTTAACTCCGCTGTCGCTAAAGGGGAAAATTGAACCCCTGACAGGGCGAGCGAGTTAGATAGCACACCCATCCGTAAACGGAGAGCAGATACACACACTCAGAATCGTTGTAAGTCCTTGCCGCAGCCCGAAAAGCCGCGTACGAAGCTTGAGAAACAACAAACTTCGGAACAGGAGGAACACGCACTACAGTACAAACAACCTAACAGACCTCTAAGAATCATGACTGGATTCTGCACAGACATCGACGGACTTTCTCCCGTGTTGTGTTCCCCCAAGTTTTCGCCTTTCACTATCGCATTTTCCACGAAGTTTACTTCAGGACAAACTGGCCCACATGATTCATTCGCGCATAAGTTCGGTACAGTGCAACCCGACACAATACCTGGCGTCGCCAACACAACTCCTTTCGATCGACAAACACATTTCATGTGGGTTTTTGTGAGCTTGGAAGTACAGAGGTGCGGTGGATATGCTAGGTGGAAGAGGAAGAATACACACTCGATATCACCACGACATGGCAACAACAACAACAACAACAGGACTCTGTGTACCTCAGCCACCACCAACCACCTCAACAACAACGCCCCCGCCAGCAACAACCCTCACCTCTCGCCCATCCCTACGGGTATCCTTCCTCCTCCCCTCCAGCAAGGTCGTCTGCGGCACATGTTCGGAGGCCGTCGAAGTTCTTCCGGCACCGGCGAAACCACCTCCATCGCAACCCCCCCAACCGCTGCCGTTGGTGCTGCTGGTGCCGCCGCCATCGCTGCCACCGGCAACCCGACCACCGCCGCCATCGCTAACCTTCCCGACCGGTGCCACAACGACTCCGCCGCCCCCGCCGTAACCGTTGCGGTCGCCTGCTGCCCGGGGGTGAACGGACTTCGGCGTGTTATAGCCGAGCGAAAGCGCGGGAGGAGACGTCGGGGCGAGGACGCGGCTCTGCCGGGCCTGGGTGTTCGCCGGTCTTGCACCCACGCATGTTGTGGGCTTCGGTCCTGATCTTTGCTTCGGGCTGAAGGTGCACGGCCTGTTTCTCTTGACACACCTGCTGCACGCCTTCTCGTAGGCGTTTCCATCACACGTCACCTGTGTCGTTGTCGTCGTCGTCGTCGTCGTTGTTGTTGTTGTTGTTGTCGTTGTCGTTGTCGTTTTTGTGTTTGGGAAAGGAGGAGGGGAGGGGGGAGCAGGGGCAAGCGGTGCATGCGCTCACTTTCGTGCAAAGGCTGTGTTTGCACTTCACATTCACGTGCACCCCTGACAACCAATGGCGGGGCAAGACGGGTGCACACCTAGATTTCACGGACCAGAACGACACGCGCGCACGCGTGAAGGCATAAACTCAATTAAAAATTGGGTGACTTCGTAGGTTATCGTCCGGAACGAGTCAAGCTTGGCTTGGAAAGTGGGGAAGAAGAACGTTACAGTGTGCCATAGGTTTTGTTGACGGTGGTTGTTTCGCGGCAGCTACGGTGACCTGCCTCATCAGCGCATCCAAAACCCGCTCTAGCAATGAAGTTGAGATTTCCACCGTCATGGACAGAATCAAGAGTGTTGGTAGCCGATCAATTGGTTCGGAGCTTGTCTTGGGCTCTGGGAGAACGCAAGTTTTGAAAAAGAGTGGAGCGTGGCAAGGTTTCACTAAGGAAACGGGCAGAATGAAGACGCTTGGTGTTAGAATGTGGAGTTTGAGCATGGCGATATCAGTTGGATATGGCGACACGAGGGGGAGTGCGCTTTGGTCGATACACGTGGCTTGGTGGTTCGTTGTAGGAATCCGTTCCCATTAAGCGGCACATTGTCCCTTGAGAAATATGTTGCAAAATAAACACAGTCCTCGTTGCCGCTTCATGTGCGCACCTTCTTGCTTACGCAATAGTCGCAGTTCTTCCTGAGCGACATCTCGTTCGGTCTGTGGCGAAGTTTCCGGTGTGCTGTAGACGTTGCGGTCGAGCGCCACTGCCCGTGGTGTCACAGCCGCGTGGACGCGGTAGCCTATTCGCTGGCTGTGGATGAAGCCCCCCACTACAGCAGCTACTGTAACTGGGTCCTGGTGTTGATGTTGGTTCTTGCTGGTGCTTGTCGCCTCTCTCGGTCTTTCGAGGCCCCGCCACTACCGCTGCTGCCGTTGCGACGGGAGCGCGGTGCCGGTATTGGCCTGTGTTCTGCGGCGGACGAAGCCCAGTGCTGGAGGTGGTTGATTGTCGCTGCTTTAGTTGGTGTGCATGTATGCGTACACGTGGATAGGGCGAAGGCGGCTGGCTGTAGGAGATACCGTCGAGCGGTGAAGCCCTCGCTACCACTGTTTGCTGCTGCTGCTGCTTGCTGGTCCTACGAGACGACGGATTGTGCAGGATAGCACCAGGCTGCTTGCGGTTCTGGATGCCGGTTCTTGTGGTGCTTGTCGTGTCTCTCGATATTTCAAGGCCGTGCCGCTACCGCTGCCGCGCCTTTGCCACGGGAGCGTGGTGCTGGTGTCGGCGCCTGTGTTCTGCGGGAGTAGTGGTACTGGTGCTTGTCACTGCTTCAGTCGGTATGGAACGTGCGAGCACGTATAAGGGCGAAGGCGGTGATACCGTTCAGCTCTTCCACTCCTGCTGGGTCTGCTCGATAGCACCACCACGAAAACAGAGAGAGAGAGAGAGAGAGAGAGAGAGAGAGAGAGAGAGAGAGAGAGAGAGAGAGAGAGAGAGAGAGAGAGAGACAGAGAGCTTCGTCATTGAAGCATACGAAAACGAGCATGAATTTTTCATGTTCGTGGTGCAACATCGGGCCTAATTCCAAGTAGCTACTTCCACGATTACTCTGCCCTGTCTGCACCGGCCTCGTCGGCACAACTTATCGGGACTACTGTTGCTCGATCTGTGTTGATATGTGGCGCCGCCGGGGCTCCAGCTACGGCGCTGCGTGGATTCTACCGACGCGGATCGGCGGACATCTGAGCTTTTTGAGAATCTTGGGCAATTGTAGTGCTGTACCACGAATTGCTATGCACGTATGCATACAAATGTTCGACGTACAACACATTGTATCCATGTCATCGAATCGATGTTTTTGCCATCTCGTTAAGGTGGCGAGATTCAGAAATAGCTCTAACACGAAAACCGATCGTTCTCTGCCTACGAAAATAGTGGGGTTTCCGTTGGAAACCTCTCCTAGATGTCGACTTTGTACGTGGATGTTGGCGTTGGCGTTGGGTGCGCTTGCGCTGTACAGTTGGAGCAGCAGTTCGTCCCCGCAGGAAAGACAGATGGAATATACGAGAAACACGGCTTCGGTCGAATGAGCACTGGCCACCTCGCTAGAGAGTACTCGGCAGCGAGAGCCGTATGCATAGCTCAAATGTTTGCCATTGGCAGGGTGCTCAACCACTGCCCCCTTCGCTCTCTTTCGCTCGCAATCGCTGAAAGATGGAGCTGTTGTTTTGACACATGATACCGAAGAGTTCACCGGGTACTTACCAGATCGGAGGTCGTACAGGTATAGGGAGACTCTCTGGTCAGCAACAGGGCGCGTTCTCTCGTTAGTGCTAGCTTCTCGCGGCACGTCTGGCGAAGCAAACGAAAACGAGCCGTGAAGTGTGTCAACGTTCTCGAAAACGGATCGATTTCATTGGCCTAAACGGACAGTCGAGCGAGCGACACGACAATTCCTCCGATGCTGTTCGTCTGTCTGTCTGTCTCTCTGTCTGTGCGTAATCCTCTCTCGCTTCCAGCAAGCAAGGGCCACAAGACACTATAATCTGTCCAATCATCAACCCGTAGGCTCTTCTCGCCAACGCGTCTGATGCCTTGGCACCCTCGAAACCCTACTGTGTGAGTGTTGGAACATGCCGCACATGAGGGAGGATAGTAACATTTTTTTGGTATCCTTGTATCGTTGGATGTTGACTTTGGTATCGTTGACAGCGGAGGGTTGGCATTTCGCGACTTTTACACGTACATGCACGCCCGAGCTGCTTGGACGGAGAGGACAAGATCATGCCATAGTCTAGTTCCAGATTTTGCAGCGAGAATGAATATGCATGATTATCTATATATTATATATATAATAGTATATGTACATACTGTAGTCGATTGCACGAAGTGATACTGCTGTTGTTTGTGCTGCAGCAGCAGCTTTACTGCGGTAGAGCGATGGTAGATGTAGCGCCGACGCCCCGCTTGCTCGTGAATCTGGCGATATCTTGCTGATGCTTCTTCTACAGCGTGCTATTCGACCATTTGCTGAGGAAGGACGGTCGGATTCGGTCGCAGAGTGGTGGGAGCTTGTGCGCACCTAGACTTGGGCGATATCCGACTCAGTCGTGAAGCGATGTCCGGGCGAATGCGGCAGTATGTTTTTCCCTCGATCAGAGGCAAGCAGTGAACGAAATTCATTTCCGATTTCATTTCCACTCCCAAAGGATAAATTGTGATAAATGATCACGACGACTAATGGTCGTTTCCCGTCTGAAGTAGTTTTTTTTTTTGGCGGGTTTTCGCGGGATCGACGGCGGATACGGAGAAAGAACAGACACTAAGGGGCGTCCCCAGAAGTACCTGTAACGGACGGATTCCTTCACCGCAAGCCAAGCACCAAAGGTACCAGCACGAGCACCACACCAACACTTACCACCGCCACCACCAACAGCAACAGCAACAGCAACAATAACAACAACAATTCGGCCTAACTTCCCTCGCCAGTGACGACGTGCAGGATGTTCTTCCCGAAGGGTTGAGGGGTCCCCCTTCGCGGCGTGCGGTTTGGGCAGGAATTGTGTCGCCCTTAGATGTTCGGCCTGACGGGCTGATACTTGGCGGTTGGTCTTCACGCCGTAAGATCATTCTGATTGGCTGACACTCTGCAGTCGCTCCTGAGGCGGTGAAGATCGTCCTGATGGGCTACTATCGCCCGCCCAGACGAGTTTGGTTGTACATTGGTGGTATTGCGATGCACGTTGCCACCCCGAGGTGCGAAATAGTAATGGAGTATGGCGTCCGGCATAGGCTCTTCGACGTCGGCACAGGACTCGGAGCAGTCCGACCGCAGCGCCTTCCCCACACAATGCTTGCCGTCGCCATGGATGTACTCTGTACAGAGGGCCACCCCTCCCGGTTTTCCCCCCGTCGGGTCCAGAAGGCGTTGGAACTTCACCGAGAGCCGATTGTCATTCGGCAAGAGACGCAAGAAAACGGTCTACAGTACTAGAGACAATTTACATATGTTACCGCCGTCCTGCGATTCCTCTTTGGTGAGTGACACGTGATGTCCGCAGGTTTTACACCTAAAAACAAAAACGGAGCAGCGACAGGGATGGGATCATTACCACGAGTGACAAGGGTGCAGCGTAGTGAACGACAAGTAAGAAAGGGCGACAGGAAGCGTGAGCAGCACTGACCACGCCATGAAACGAGCCCGCACTTGATTAATCTTGACATGACCAGCAACAGCAGTGAAGCAGGAATGAATTTCATTTGAGTGACGATGGTTGTTGTTGTTGTTGTCTTCACATTAAAAACCGTTCCGTTCTCTCTGCCTAGTACCTTCTTCTGTCCGTACTACTGTAGTCTAACACTTGACGGGGTCGATTCCCGTGGTCATAGGCTAACTTCCCCAAAAAAGGTATACGAAAATAAAATGGACCCGAAGGGTCCGCAAACCAATTAAAGTCAACGACAGATCGAAACACCTGCCGTGTAGGTAGTCGACCGAGGAGCAGCTACCGATTTGGGTGTAAATTCATGTGGAAAGCTACAACCAGCACCCGATTGGCAGGGCCAGACGTTGAGCACACAGATAAAAACTGTTTACGAGCAAGGGAGCAGACGGGGCATATTGAGCGTGGGCTACGACCGCGTCAAGTGTTGGATCAGTACGGACATATGAAGGTACTGGATAGATAGAGATTAGAACGGTTTTATTGTATAGACAACAACAACAACATACCAAACTAGGGCGTATGAGCACCTGGTTGCGTCTCTTGGCGCCTCAGGAGGAGGAGGAGGTGTTACGCGATCATCCCGGCTAGAGTTTCCCTTCCGGTAGTTCTCTTGTTCTTCGCATTCACCATCGCTCGACGACGACGAGTTGTCTTCTAGGAGGCCACTTTTCTTGGGCTCGTCGTCCTTCCATGACTCAGCGTCAGCGGGAGATTGGGGAGTGGAAGGTGAATCCGCACCTATGGCGGTACTCCCCTCCGCGCCCCCTTCCTTGGTGGTCGTTCTCCTCCGGTCCTTGTCCACCGTCTTGTTGTTTTGTTTTTCTGCGGCCACCTCGTCATTGTCCCTGGCGCCGCTGCTGGAGAGAGAGCGGATTTTGACACGGGGACAGGTAACATAGGATCTGGTGGAGTGCCGATACGGTGCGGTCGTCTGTACGTTGGAGATTGGAAGGTTGCAATTGCGCTGAAAGGTCGAGGAGACTAACGCCAACCCGAACACTATGTTGGAAATGCGCTGATCGGTCAAGAAGGCCAAAGATCGGCCCAACTCATCTTAGAACAGAGCTGATCGATCGAGGAGGCGAAAGGTGGAGGAGGCCAGTGACACACGTTTTTCAATGGCGTCCCGAGTGGGCAACAGTTTTGGAATGGGGCCGAATTATTGAGGAGACGAGCGATGGCCCGGACACAATTTTCCTTCAACACATATCCCGTACGTGCGAGGTTCCAGCTTACATGGGGCCTGCTGATTTGTTGGCGACAAGGTTTCAACTGCCTGAGTTAGATATTTTCACCCCGTGGTAGTCCTCTCTGTACCCACCAACAAGTTGATCACCCCAACCTGGAATACCGCTGTGACGTGTACCAATCGGGTTCTCTGTGCCACCCACGCTTGTTTTCACCTTGGGTTCTTGTCGCCCCTCTTGTTTTTCTTTGATTTTCCTAAGGCCACCTGGTCTTGGCTCCTGTCACCGCTGCTGGAGGGAGCGCGGTTGGTGGCACGGGAACAGGTAGCATAGGATCTGACGGAGATCTGATGGAGTGCCTATAAAGTGCTCTGTCTACGTTGAATATCTACGGTTGCGGCGATGGCACTGATCGATCGAGCGGGGGCTAACGACGACCCGAACACTATTTTGAAAATGCGCTGATCTGTCGAGAAGGCCAATGATCGGCCCAACTCTTCTTGGAACAGGGCTAATCGGCCGAGGAGGCGAAAGGTGGAGTAGGCCGAATGGGCAACAGTTTTTGAGTGGGGCCGAGTTGCATCAATGAGACGAGCGATAGCCCGAACACAATTTTCCTTCAACACATATCCCGTACATGCGATGTTCCAGCTTACGTGGGGCCTGCTGATTTGTGGGCGACAAGGTTTCAACTGCCTGAGTCAGATATCATCCCGTGTGCTCTCTGTACCCACCAACAAGTTGATCACCCCAACCTGGAATACAGCTGTGACGTGTACCAATGGGGTTTTTTGTGCCACCCAAGCTTGCAACTCATAAGCTTGCAACTCATGAGTGAACACGTTGTATTGTGAGAACTGGACACGGGACAAATCCGCGTTGTATGTGCTCACATCCGGTCCTTGCTTTTAGAACGTCTGCGCTTGCCATCTGCTTTCTTCGAGCCGCTTTTCCTGCTCTTGGCGGTGTCCTTCTCCTGCTCCTCCTGGTGCGACTTGTCCCCGCTGGGTGACGTCGAAAATCGAAAAACAAATAAAACGAAAATGAGACTTTAACCCGCCTTATAATGCCCGACATACGCAACTATCGCAAGCTGTCTAGTAGGTGGCCCTCATGGACATGGTGCTCATCGTCTGGTGATGGCTACGGAAACCATATATATTAACCATTTGATCTGATCGGTCGAGGAGCTCATTTTGAACTCCTTCGTAGTCGTAAGCTGAAATCCCGAAACACGCAACTATCGCTCGCTGTTGAGGATGCTCTGTGGTTCTCATGGTCACGGTGTTATTCAAAGTCTCACGCATAAACCATTTGATCTGATCGGTCGAGGAGCTCATTTTTTAGGCTAGGTATTCCTCCTAGGTCGTAAGCGGAAACCACTGAGTTTGGTTATGGTTTGGCTAAATGCATTTTTATCAAGCAATCGACTTGCAAGAGGCGTTACGTGTCTTAAAAAGTACGGCCAAAATGCATCCGCATCTCCATCTGCTCTCTTCCCCTTCGGGTCCATTTCTTTTTCGTATACCGTCAAGCCGTCAAGTGTGAGACTACAGTACTACAGCAGTAGTACGGACAGAAGAAGGGTGAGCAGAGAGAACGGAACGGTTTTTAATGTGAAGACGACAACACCAACGACAGGAACAAGGACAGCAAAAACATTTTGAACCCACGTGTCGTTTCCGAAGTAGCAAATGCTTGGCGTCGCCGTCCTCAAGTCGCCATTGTCATCCACTAGGTTGCACAGACGCAGTTGCTCGTCCGTAAACTTCACCAGGACGTCTCCACGCCCTCGTTCCCCTACGGATAGCCGCACCCTCCGTCGAGGTGTGCCACCAGGCGAGTCGTCGCCGGATGACCCACCTTCGTCTTGGTCATCGTCGTTGCCTGGTGCAGCACCAGCGGCCTTCGCCCCGGCCTTCGCCCCGGCGCCTAGAGGTGGAGGTGTTAGGAGAGGGCGGATCATAATGAATAACCATGAGTTGGCCGCCGTTCCAACGTGAAAAACATTCAAACTAAGGGTTGGTCGCCGTTCCTACGTAAAAAAAACTAATGAATAAGCATGAGTGACATATCCAAGACTCTGTGAACACAACCCCTGTCCTCAATATATAGCACATGTTTGCTCACCTGCTGTATTTCTCAGAATCTCAATCCTCTCCTTGTCGAGGAAGTTGAAACTCCGGAACTTAATCCCGCCAAGGATTTCGTCCATGTTGGTGTTGTGGCCTCCTCCACGGACAGCGGCAATAAGGCCCCGAAATCTTTCCGTCCTTGGCGGAAGTCCGTGCTTTTTCATAAGCGGCTCCAAGAACCAATCTACGATGAAAAAGGCCACGTAGGACGCCAAAACCCTCTGCTGCCCGTGCTTCGCCTTCTGCTTGCCCCCCCTCGCACCCTGGTTGCCCCCCCCCGCAACCTTCTCCTGACCGTCATCATCGGCGTTATCTCCAGCTTCGGTCTCGCCTCCAAGCTAAGCAACGAACCCAAGCGACGGAGGAAAGAACGACGTCGAGGGGACGGAGAAGAAAGATATGGATCACGCGACGGGGCGCGCGACGAGGAGGAAAGAACGGCATTGAGAGACGGGAATGTGTTCTTTCGGGGAGAACGTTTTGAAATATATATGTTCGATGAAAATCTACGGTAGCATGAGGAAACAAAGTCGACTGCCTGTTCCTGCAGGACACAGTGTGCTGAGGCGGAAAACCATATTGAGACTGTCCTTACCCAATCTCGCCATGTCTGGAGCGAAAACACCGTTTCGGTTCCGCTAACGGACAGAAACGGTTGTTCTCCGTAGCCGGGTGGCGCCAACACTGCCGTGTTTGATGGATTAGGCTCGAAGTGCCGCGACCCGTGAGCGATGGCCTCCTTAAAGGCCGTGACCCTCCGGCCAAACGACCTCTTCAACGTTTGTCGGTTGATCTTGTTCTCGGATGACGAGTCTAAGCGAGGTAGCCGGAAGCACCGAGCCAAGACGAGAGTGAGTTCTCGAGCGTCCCTCCGGAGCCCTTCCCCCGATCCCTCCTCAAGCGTCTCGAAGCGTGCCGCTTCCTCTTCGCTGACGAAGTCTGGCATGAGGTCGAACAGGAGTGAAACGTCCTTAGCCGGTGACGCCAAGGCCGACGGGTTGGGGTCCGTCCGCTGGCTATCGATGTGTTTCCTGGTGGTGAGAGATATCACCATCGCCTCTACAATCTCCAACGTGGTCGCCTGGACAGCGAACTTGGAGCGGAAGTGCTCAAAGCAATCACCTCAGCTAATGTTTAGTTGCCCTTTTGTGGGCTGTTTGCAGGTAAGCATAAGATTTTGAGCCCCCCCTCATGTAGTTTGCCAACATCTGGGGTGGCGGCAAGCCGTCGTACACGTCGACTCGGGTGGGTTGGAAGCAATCCTTCCCTCATTCCCGTACGTTCTCGCCTCATGACGCGAGGACACAAACATGTATCCACGTTGCAATACAAACTACGGATCTACCATAGTATTAGTATGTCCCTCTGAGAGACCATACGTGACGTGTGTCTGTCATGATCACTTTCAGTCCGAAGTCGGAAGCTCCAAACCAATCATTGTTCTTAGCCGACCTCCCGAGGCGCGAGAAAAATCATTCCGTGGCCGTATTGCAACAACTCTACAAGTTTGAGGTCGATTGGTGCCTCCTTCGTTAACGTTTCGCTGTATCGGTGCTCAACCGTCTCAGCTTGGCATCCGTCTCTGTACTCCGCAGTAAGCTGTCGGGGGTGATGTCTTTGAAGTGCCTGAACGTGATCGCCCCCCCCCGTGTCGTACAGTGGCTGGGGCAACCGCAGGTGGGATGGTTCATTGGTGTAGCCCTGAAGTTAACATGTTGATGGTCGCTGGGGCGGGTTATGTTGCGCGGATAGATGTCTCGTCGGTGATATTGAAATAGTGCTTCGAGTTCCAGCGCCGCCTGCCCATTGCCTCAGGCGCCGCGCGCTAGGTCACCATCGGAGCCGCCGGCTTCCCCTTGGGGAGGAAGGAACAGGATGGCGTGCAGTTCCCGGTTGCTGGCTTCGTTGTACCCAGCCTACAGCCCAAAAGGAGACGGTGGCTGCTGCATCCGTCGCCGAATCTGATTCCGCGCCAGTCCCGACCGGCCTCTTTGGTCCGTCCAAGATGATCTCGAACAATAGACTACCGTTATGTAGTTAGAGGCAGAGAGATTACAACCCCCCTGGGCCGATTTTCAAAGATCAACTACCCCACAACCAATATTGATTGTGCCAACACCAAACACTGATGGTCTTGGACACATCTCGTCGAGGGCTCTTTCCGCTCCCTCTTGGTTGTGGAGCAATTGAGCTTTGTAAAATGTTCTACGGGGGATGCCATCTCTCCACCTCGCCTCTTGCGGTATGTCGGGAGGGGCGCTTGATACTGACACCGTCCATGAGACTGGACTTCTTCAGCCAATCCTGGAAGGTCAGCAATCCATGTAGTGCCTCTTGGGGTGCTGATCATGTCGGTGTTGTGATTGTCCTTGCATGACTCAGGAACACGGAGTCCTCGAACAGAGAGCACGGAGTACAGCACCGTACAGCGTACAGCAGTGTTGTCTGTATAGGAGAGAAGCTATTCAGGGATGCTACAGGGATACTACGGGGATTTCCACCCCATTACTGTAGCGGAAGACGGCCAAAGAAGAATAATGGAGGGCGCTGTCGTTCCCGTTTCAGTCTTCGGGTTATTGAATCAAATCAGCCACAAGCAAGGGTGGGATAATGTCTATGTGGTTCCAGTTTGTGATGGGGATGTTATTGTATTTTTCCATGCCTGCATGCCAGGGATGTTCAGTTCGGCTCGGGGGGAGGGGACGCTTCATTTCCGTGATGGAAAAGCAGTCTTCTTCTTGATGTCCCACTCGGAGATGGGAAACTTCGCGTGGGTCCCCCATCGAGGTAGCCGGTTGACGCGCAGCTCTCAACTACCTAGGTCTATGTGGAGAACTCGTCATTGAGGCATAGCGCTCAGTCGCTTCTGGACCAAGACTGACTGGACATTTGCTTGGAGAGAAGTATCAACAACGGCCGGCCACCCTGACAGCTTGTTTTGCCGACATTGGCAAATGAAATTTTCGAAGGACGAGTTGCCCGCATGCACTGTGCATACCGGCGGAATTCCCAATGAACGCGAGCCTTCTTTATTATTCATTCTACTCCTGCTCGTGGTATCGTCACCACTTATGTGCTTACCCACGTTCTTCATTGTGCCTTTTGTTTCCCCAGCTTTCAGAGCCACGCTCACAACGAACTCTGGGTCGAAGCCATATCATTGCGTCTGTCTTTCTATCACAACGCCCACCTGTCGCGAAACCCTACAGTAAGCTCGAAATGGAAAACAGTCCTGACACCTGTGTGGCATGCTGGCAAATACTCTCGTTTGAAGGGGAATACAAACGCCCTGCGAGGAGCAAGTCCTCTACGGTATAGATGGATGGTGAAGAACGCCAGGCCTCCCGCCCTCTGAAACAAGCATGAGAGCAAAGAGGGGGGGGGCACAAGTGTTGTTCCTAGCAAGTTATATACCTGTGTACCCCGCCCTACTTTACTGAAGAATATCCAACCGCACTCCGAGCACTCCAAGCCCAAGACAAAGATCAACATCAACAACAGCTCTCCTTCGCGCGCACTACGTACGGTCACGCATGCAGAGCCCAAGATCACACCACGACAGCCTCGAAACCCATCTTCAACAGTGAGCCGGGACTTCAAACACACTCACACGAATCAGCCTTTTGGACTGGTGAGAATTTCATGTGTACATCAATTGATGAAAACATCATTCATGAATTACCGAGGTGAAACTGATAGTATTTTCGTCTCGGGCAACACTATGTAGCCAGGGAGTAAAATAGAATATCATGCCCATCATGTCTGCCCGCAGCATCATCACCGGCGGCGTTTCACCCCGCTCAAACTGGCTCTCCGAGTGACGCTGCCCGAAATTCCACCTTGTGTAATGGTCAGTCCTACTGGAGGAAGCGGCGCAGCACCCGTGCCTTGGGTAGAGCCAACCCATCCAGGCAGGGACGCCGGCGCCACGAAAGCCGAAGCACCGGCGGGGGCCGGAGGAGCGGTGACAGCACCGTTTCCGCCGTTTGCACCGCCCGTGCCGAAGATGAAGCTGGGCACGGGCACTGCCGGCGATGTCGTACCACCCCCGGGTCCGCGGGGGGCAACCCTACCAGCCGTCAGGGTCGGGCCGGGAAAGGGGGCCGTCGTCGCCGCCGTTGTCGTCGCCACCGCCGTTGTAGCTGAAGCCGCGCCGCCGCCGAACGTGAACTGGGCACCGGGTTGGTTGCTGGTAAGGGTGATGGATGGCGTCGGAGGTGGGCGTGCGGCAGCGGAAGTGGGGATGACCACCATCATTGGTGTCGGCGCCGTCGCAACTCTGGCTCCGCTAGCCGAAGCACCGGCGGGGGCCGGAGGAGCGGTGACAGCACCGTTTCCGCCGTTTGCACCGCCCGTGCCGAAGATGAAGCTGGGCACGGGCACTGCCGGCGATGTCGAACCTCCCCCGGGCCCGTGGGGGGCAACCCTACCAGCCGTCAGGGTCGGGGCGGGAAAGGGGGCCGTCGTCGCCGCCGTTGTCGTCGCCACCGCCGTTGTAGCTGAAGCCGCGCCGCCGCCGAACGTGAACTGGGCACCGGGTTGGTTGCCGGTAAGGGTGATGGATGGCGTCGGAGGTGGGCGTGCGGCAGCGGAAGTGGGGATAGCCACCACCATTGGTGTCGGCGCCGTCGCAACTCTGGCTCCGCTAGCCGAAGCACCGGTGGGGGCCGGAGGAGCGGTGACAGCACCGTTTCCGCCGTTTGCACCGCCCGTGCCGAAGATGAAGCTGGGCACGGGCACTGCCGGCGATGTCGTACCTCCCCCGGGCCCGTGGGGGGCAGCCCTACCAGCCGTCAGGGTCGGGGCGGGAAAGGGGGCCGTCGTCGCCGCCGTTGTCGTCGCCGCCGCCGTTGTAGCTGAAGCCGCGCCGCCGCCGAACGTGAACTGGGCACCGGGTTGGTTGTCGGTAAGGGTGATGAATGGCGTCGGAGGTGGGCGTGCGGCAGCGGAAGTGGGGATGGCCACCACCATTGGTGTCGGCGCCGTCGCAACTCTGGCTCCGCTAGCCGAAGCACCGGTGGGGGCCGGAGGAGCGGTGACAGCACCGTTTCCGCCGTTTGCACCGCCCGTGCCGAAGATGAAGCTGGGCATGGGCACTGCCGGCGATGTCGTACCTCCCCCGGGCCCGTGGGAGGCAACCCTACCAGCCGTCAGGGTCGGGGCGGGAAAGGGGGCCGTCGTCGCCGCCGTTGTCGTCGCCGCCGCCGTTGTAGCTGAAGCCGCGCCGCCGCCGAACGTGAACTGGGCACCGGGTTGGTTGCCGGTAAGGGTGATGAATGGCGTCGGAGGTGGGCGTGCGGCAGCGGAAGTGGGGATGGCCACCACCATTGGTGTCGGCGCCGTCGCAACTGTGGCAACACCAGCTCCGATGGCGGTTATGCCGCTGAAGATGAACCCCGTGGCATGGGCGGGAGTGGCAGCGGGAATGGGGTCATCGACGTCCATCGGTAACAGGTCGGCAGAAGGAGGTGTCCCCACCGACAGATCACGAAAGCCGGCGGCACCCCCAGTAGGAGCGGTTGGGGGCCCAACGGCAGGCAGAGTGCTGGGGGCCGCAGCCGGTGGCGATCTTCGAACCAATGGCCCAGACGGAGGTGCCACCCCCGACACACCACGAAAGCCGGTGGCACGCCCAGTTTGAGCGGTTGGAGGGGCAACGGCAGGCAGAGTGCTGGGGGCCCCAGCGGGTGGTGATCTTCGCCAGGCGTTTTAGAGAGGGCGTTCGCCGGGTTTGGCGAGCGGGCGGCATCGACGAGGTAAGGTGCATGATCAGAACTTCGCAGTCGACCAACGACAAAGGGTTTTCACCCCACGGCTGTCGGGAGCGTAACACAGCAGGGGTTACCGAGGTGCTTGGAACGTAATAAGCTTTACGGCACGTAGCCCTGCGAATAAGGAGCCCAAAGGTGCGAAACAGTTGAAACTGAAAGGAGTGATCCAATCCCTACGACATCGCGCCACGGCTTAGGGTAAAACCACGATGGGAGCCCCAATAACGCCTTCTAACCAGCCAGGCAACCATCATTTGAGCGAAGAGGTGTGCGGCGTATTCTGAGTCTTTCACCAGTATAATTTTGTGATATTTCGAAGACGAGTAGTCCAAACCCGCGGTACCCCAGCAAAAGGCCGCCATGATTCCGTCGTTGATTATGTAACTTTTCGACGAACGATTCGAACACATGTTTGCTTATTGCTGAGTACGGTGCGTACTTCACTGTTGTTTGCAAGCCTGCGACCACGGACGTCGCACCCCGTGTGGGGTTAGGGATCAGCACCGCACACGGAAGTACCGGGCACACTTTATGAACGAACATTTTCGTGGAGAAATGACACAACAAACACGCCGACAACCGTAAACGCAACAAAAGACACAAGGCAATAATCAGCTTAACAGATACAAAGAACTCTTCCTCCAACTCACCGGTGATCCTCGAGAAGACGATGATGGACCCTGGCCCCTCCCGACCAATCTATTGGGCAGGCTTGGCACTGATATGAGCGGTGGTACTGGTCCAGTAAGCGAGTCCGGCGCATCCCGCACCCAAAGCAAATAGGCATGGAAGCCTCATCTTGGTGCAACAAGACGGAGTTGGTTACGCGGGGCCTCGCCGCCGCGGGTGCACCACTTGGGTCAGGCGCCGAGAGAGTCCTGTGGGAAGAGGGCTTTACTGGTTCTTGATCCCATGGAGTGTGCGTCATTGCATTGCGAACGGAGCGCCCGGCTGCCCGAACCAGCTGATGAAAGCAACAGGCGGAGGTTCAGACGTTTCGTGGGAATAATCAAAGAGTAAAACAGCGGTGAGGAGCTGGAGCCATTGAAATGTTTGTTTGGAGCTTGTTCGTTCGCCCGTCAAGCGTTCTGCCATTCCGCGACAAATTGAATGAAGCGGCCGTGGGGTCCCTGAATTCGGACCCCCAGCTGCTTTGCTGCGATCGTCACCGAGGGTACATTCCGCGATACCACTACATCCAATTCCATACGACCGTCCAAGCGTACAGTCAGCGCTAAACTTGAGTACCATGTGTCCACATGAACTCGCAGGGCACACATGGGAACACCGTAAACCAATACCATCGGCCATGGACACATGCAATAAAAAGTGTTTTCTAAGCATAGACTACACCACCAACATTCTCTTCGATGGTATCCTTATCTCCGAATAAATCGTACAGGAAGATGACCCCCCCCGCCCATTCCCACCTCCCTCACAAATCACGCGCACCTACAGTAGTCCCCGGTTTCCTGTCGACTTCGCCTCACTACCGGCATACACTTTTCTTTTGCCCTCATACCGGGTGCAAAGACCTTGGGCTGCTTACCTCGAGTGCCATGCTGGTAGCACGACGTGCCATCGGTGTCAGCCTCACCCGACTGCTAATGACGCCCCTGGCGATGAGCCGTCTCGCCACCGGTAGAAGCCGGTAGCTGCGGGTGATGATGATGCTGACTGCACGTCTTGCAACTGGTAGAAGCCAGTAGCTGCGGGTGATGCTGCTGTTGATGGCGCGTCTTGCCACCGGGAGCAGCCGGTAGCTGTGGGTGATGCTGATGCTGACTGCCCGTCTTGCAACTGGTAGCATCCAGTAGGTGCGGGTGATGCTGCTGTTGATGGCGCGTCGGGCCATGGGTAGCAGCCTGCAGCTGTCGGTAATGCTCCGCAAGGAAATGGCGGAGCCGAACCTGTCGCCCTGCTCTTCGTCCGCCACAACGGGACGCCGTTGCAACCATGGGTTTGCCGACGCCCCCCCCGGGCTTGCAGCCGGCTCTAGCACCCGTTGACGCGAGCGTTCGCCACCAAAGCGTAACCTGGGCAAGAGAGCGGGCGTTGGCAGAGGAAACGTCAGCATGGATACAAGTCAATACCCTTTCACACTTACGTTTGATTCCGAAAGTCAATTTCAATCAGTCACGTGGCATACCCCAGCCAGATGGTCGTGCAACATTCGTGCCAGCCGATAGCGAAGTGGCGAGTGAACCACACTTGCTCACAACAGCGGTAGTTCAAAACGTAGTGGTTCCCTTGATGAAAGGTCGCATCTTTCTCAAATCTAGTGCGCACGGTGCTTGTTTCACCAACCACCAAATCAAAAGGCTACCGGTGCCTCGTCTCTTACCCGCCGATAGTCGGCCTCGGTGCTTGGGGTCTATTTTCCCACTGCTCCAGCGAGAGGTTTGCGGGCGGGTATCTCCGGATCGCCCTCGCCGGGGCGATCATCGGCGCCGCGCTTGCACCACTTGAACGAGGTAATGAGACTGACGGTGGGAGCAAGTCCTTGCGTGCCTTTACGAAGATTTTCTGCTTCGAATCAAGTGCATCGCAAGGGAAGGGCCAAAAGGGTTGACAAGCTGAAAGGCGCCGAAGGCATGCTGGGAGAACCTCTGTTAGATGTTGTTGTTCCTTCAAACATGTCATTGGTTGTACGGCACACGAATGCCTCCGTGGCAGGGTCCCTGAACCTGGCGATCTAGGTTGGAGATTCGCTCGTCGCGAAGGGTGCATGCGGCACGTTCTACAGCCGTATTGATCAACCATCCAAGAGCACAGTCAGCTTCACCCTCCCGTACGCGATACGCCAAAATCAACTGACAGGGCAATGCACATCGGAACACAAAAACGTCGTCGGCCTCTGGAAGCAACCCAGGTACGTTTATCTAAGCAGTTACACCAACAATAACTTCCACAAACGCTTCCGCTATTTAAACACTACGTGAATAGAAAGATGGGTCCCCCGTTACCGGAAGTGGCGACGTGGGGCTGCATACCTTGGTGACAACAGTACCGGTGTTACGGTGCACCACCGACGCCGGCTTGAGCCTGCTTGTGTCTGCCACACGGGGTGGAGGGCCGCCGAGCTTTCCCTCTTTCCCGGGCTTCGCGACCACGACGGTGGGCCGTGCCGCCTGGCCCGGCTGGCTGGCCGCTGGCTTCAGCACAGTCGAATGCGAGCGCTTTATCCCGACGGTCTTGCGCGCGGACGATCTGGCGGATATAGGGCGGGGGGTTTAGCATGTGTTTGGTAGAGGTGGCGCGTTTGGGTACCCGTTCAATATGCTTCTCAACTCTGTGTGTATGTTTTGGTAGAGTACACGACGATCACGTGCCCCAGCTGCACTCGTACCAGTAGGTGTGCATGGAGCTTTGAGTGGATCCACCACGTTTTCGCAAATCACCCTACGGCGGCTACTTTGGAAACCCTCTAGATCCATGACGTGACCGTGCACACGCACGCACCTGACGTTAGTACTGGTGCGGCTCGCAGAGGTCGCGGCGGAGACGAGCTTGCCGCCTTTCTTGGCACGCCTTGCCGCCGTGAGGGTAGGCCGCGCCGCCTGGCCCGGCTGCGTTGCCGCTGGCTTGGACACCGTCGAAGGCGAGCGCTTCACCCCGACGGTCTTGCGCGCGGACCATCTGGCCGATAGAGGGCCGGGGTTGTACAGTAGCATATGTTTGATAGAGGTCACGCGCTTTGGGTACCCGTTCGATATGCTTCTCAACTCCCGTGTGTTTCGGTAGCGTGCAAGACAATCACAAGCCCCAGCTAGATGACGTGCAATGCTCGCACAAGTAGATGTGCATGGACCTTTCTGTGGATCAGCCCTGTTCACCACGTTTTCACAAATCCCCCTACAGCCGATACTTTGGAAACCCTCTAGATGCCTGAAGTGACGGTGCACACGCACGCACCTGACGTTAGTACTGGTGCGGCTCGCAGGGGTCGCGGCGGAGACGAGCTTGCCGCCTTTCTTGGCACGCCTTGCCGCCGTGAGGGTAGGCCGCGCCGCCTGACCCGGCTGGCTTGCCGCCGGCATCGACACCGTCGAAGGCGAGCGCTTAACCCGGACGGTCTTGCGCGCGGACGATCTGGCCGATAGAGGGTAGGGGGAGTAGCATACGTTGGGTACACATTCGATATGCTTCTCAACTGGGTGTGTGTTCCGGTAGCGTGCAAGACAATCACTCGCCCCAGCCAGATGGATGTGCCATACTCGTGCCAGTAGATGTGCATGGACCTTTGAGTGGGTCAGACCTGCTCAGAACCGGTCGCAATGTAGCCTAAGATAAACCGTTCATTGTACGCCAGATGAACCCCGAGAATACTTGCATATTCTGCCCAAGCATTAGATGTGACACCCTGGGTACGGTGCATCCAAAGATCGGGACATTTGAATATGTTTTGGGCGTACACGCTCTCCCGACTGCTGTAACGGTACTTTGGAAACCCCAGGAACGCCCGACGTGACCCCCACACGCGCACCGTTGGTCCCTGGTGCTGCCTGCACGGGATGCGGCTGAGCCGAGCCGTCTTGCCCTGGCCCCGAGGGACCATCATGTACTCCTCCGTTGTGGTCCTCATCGTGGTCGTTACTTTTGCCGTCGCTGTTGTCCTTCGCCGCCCCCTCGTCTTCTCCAGCACTAAGACGTCCAGTCATTGTGGCCGCGTCTCCATCGCCCTCCCCCGGGTCAGCCGTGGCGGCTCTCTCTGTTGATGCTGCCGTTGTTCTTGTTGACGCGGCTGCCGCTGACGTTGCAGCTCCTACTCCTGCGTCTTCTGCAGCCTCGACCGTCGCGTCAGTATTCCCTGCTTCGTCTCCTCCCGTCCTACCTCGCCCTACCGCCGTCATACGCTGACCGAGAGCTTTCATTACCCTACGGGTCTCCTTCTCGGCTTCCTGTGAGCTGAAAGTACCAAGAGAAACAGAGAAACAAGAAGCAGAGGGCGGGAACTGTTAGGCGTTTTCTCGGTACTTGAATGATGACTATTGTGTCAGACATGCTCTCTGCACACCAGACGCCTCCCGTAAAACGCCTTGAAGTCCCAAAAAACCATGTCGCTGCGATGAAAAAATCCCTGTGCCCTTGGACAGCTCGTCAGCGTGCACCCTCCCCTGGATACATGCTACTTTGGAACTTCCCCGGATATCGGACGTGACCACGCACGCACACGCACGAACGGTTCGTATACGTGAACGTGATACCTCCCGTTTTACAAGAGACATTCCGGGTGCTGGTCATTGTCGCCAGGTATGCAAGTATGGGAACTGCGAGAGGGCTTTTCGTTTTCTGGAAAGGTTTTTGACATGGGCTCGATGTTGTTGAAAATGTATTTCCCCACCATTCGAACAGGTGCCCAGGGATTGATTGCAGCTACGCCAGTAAAGACGACGCCGTGGCTGCGATAAACATCTGAGCCCGGAGACTGTACCTTGTCGTTCAACCTCCTCCACGGTTCTTTGTCATCCGGGAAATGTTAGTGGCCGGTAGAGTTGTGTACTAATGACTGACGTATTTGTGTGTTCGTCAGCTAGATGGCGAGGTCAAAAAATTAAATATAGGCTACACATCGTTCAGCAGCTCCGCCGGCACAAATTAAACAAACACGCAGTCCTGGGGGTCCAGTGGATAACGTCGTTCGCCTACGTAAAGCAGGTTGTGTGGTCGAATCCCTAGGGGAGCGAACAATTTGCAGTTCTGCTGTTTGTTGAAAGCGATACGGGGGAAGAAAGGGTTGCGTCCTTGTTGCATTTAGAGCGCCGCAGGCGGAAAGGTGGGACAAAAATAATCAGAACGGTGAAAATTCCGTGACTGTATTACCTTCCTCCAGTGTCAACCCGGCTGACACGTCAAGTACGTACCGAAAGGTGCAGACTGGCGCCAGAATAAATGGGATGAAAACAACGACGACAACAACGACAACAACGACGACGACGACGACGACGACGACGACGACGACAACACCAACAACAACACCGCACTAACGACACCAACACCAACGCCAATACCAACAACAACAACAACAATCACAAGAATAAAACAATACATTCGTTCGCCGGACGTCTGCTCGTCGGTCAGTTGGCGAGCCGGTACTCTCGTCGATGCTAAGAACAAGGACACACAACACACACGGACTATATGGTGCTTCGGTGACGTTGTTATAGGAACTCAGTCAATGAAGTACCCAAGATCAACTCCTGTCGGCGTCTGTGCCGATAAAACGTAGACGGATTTTCAAATAATTTAAAGTCGACCGAGCGTATTAAGTATGTACGTATTTGCTGTACTTTTTCTTGAAGACGAATATTAATCACGGTGTGAACATCGCGGGCGCTGTGGTTGCTGGGCGCTGGTTTGCGCAGGCCAAGGCACTTACGTCACCGAAAACCGAGAGATGACGTGGCCTGGTGGTCCTAAAGACCTTGGGTGGTTATGGGACGTAGCGAACCTTTCATCTGTACTGACGCACGCTTGACTGAGGGTTGCGATTATATATGCACACACAGACTTGGGGGCATTTCATTGAAAGTACACCCAAGGGGAATGTCGAAAACGTTCGAACATTTTAGCGAAGAACATACGTACCTCGGTTTAGCATTGGATCTCAGGATACCGTGGAGGTACGTGCAAGAGTTCCAGGCCAACCTCAAGAAGGTGCAGTTGGTGCACAGACCCTTTCAATACTAAACCAAGATGCAGCTGATAGAAATAGAATTGCATTGAAAGGCTACTGTATGCTTATCACATACAAATATTTCGGTTTCGTCCCACCGGGTATTTACAGGGAGGATAGTACGAAGCTGGAAACAGCATTGTGGCACCCTCGGAAACTACCGCGCAATTGTGTGACATTCAAATAGAGGTGAACCAACCGAATCTACATGGCCCACAGCGACAAACCCTACGGAAATACAACAAAGTGCAAGTGCAATTCGGAAGAGGTTCTTGCAAAATTCAGATGGATGCGACATAGATTGCGTGATTTTTGTGAATGAGAGTTGGGTCGAGTAAACGATGACTGTACTAGGAATAAGATGACAGCCTCAAAACGTCACAATGGAAGAGGGATCTGCGCACAAGCACTACCTGTCTATGTAAAAAAGTACGTTGGGGGTGCCTAAACATGGTGGAATCAGTTCCGGAATCAGGACGTTGGTTGTTCTCGAAATGGTGCGAATTTGCAGACAAAAATACTATCACCAGCGGCCATGAGCACGCGCCCCCGCCTAACACACGCTAAGGAATGCATGAAATCTCAACTAATCCAGCGAATAATGGAGGGCGCGGCGGTGTATGCTCGACCCCCTCTTCGCCACACCGGTAGAAAAATAGGAAGAATATACCTGGAAAATGCCCCGAACGTTAGTTACAGATTCCTGACAAGACAGCCTGAATGTTGCACCATCTTGTTCTCCAGGACTACCGCATGCACTGGATGTCGGCCACCAGTCGTTTCGTAGTGTTCCGTACAGCTTACTCGCGACATCTAGTCTAAATGCGTACCGTCCACTTTGAAAGGAAAAGTATAACTGAAGACGTGGAGCTCTCGTCGCCCGTCAAATATCTCGAATGGCCCCACCTCCTGTGAGACAGGCGCAGTGGAATGCCCATCTCGACAACTTCACGGCACTTGTCGAGGTCATTGTTGAACGGGTGGCGGTGCAACTCCAACCCGCCTGAGTCTTCACATCCTGCGCCCGACGAGCACCACCATCGTGTTTCGGCACGTCTACACGGACACATGATGGGCACAGCGCGAGTGGACAACGGACCAGCAACGACCGAAGAAGAGAGACACAAAGAGACAGAACGGTAGAGAGAGAAAAATAGACAGACACAGAAGCAGAGGCAGAGCAAGGGTCAAAACAGCGTGACTACAACGACTGGGGGGCCTTGCGTTACTACAGAAAGGACGCAGGCCGTGGACGTGGAACTATGCACATTCGCGTGAACAGTGTCATCGACGTTTCATGACAACGGTTATCGAAGCCTATATTATATATACTGTATGGCTATGGCATACCACTACTGTGCTCCTCGGTATTGCTATTGAACAACATTCGCGTTCCACGTGGTTGTGATGCTGACACTCGCTCCGACCGGCACGAACGGGAGGGCTTGGTCACGTATGATCAGACAGAACATTTCCACCGAACACATTGGTGCCTCCGTGTACCTGAGAAGGAGTTCAGGAGCATTGTGAACCATTCTTTAGAAGAGCTCGGCGGTGAAAACAATGATGCTTTTGATCACCGTGCTTTGTTCAAGCAACGGAGATATCGGGCATCGTTGTTGATACCGCACGTACATCGAGCACTCGTCTCCAAGCGAAAGACGATAGTTCGGGAGAGAGAACGCAGAGTAACACCGGACGTACCATCCGTCGCTGTAGAGATTGTTTATGTATGCACTGGCGGAGAATGCTAATCGGGCGTTACGCGTTGAACACATCAACGTCTCTCTCTGACTTCGCTCATATGCTTGCCACATGTTGCACGCATGCTGCCCTACTGAACACACATAACTCTACATTATAGCGTTTTCAACTCGTAAGCTTACACGCCCGAAATATTTTGACACGGACAAAGGCGGGCGGTCAGCTCAAGCGGGGACGGACAAGGGTAAACACGAAGAAGAATCGCGACGATGCTGAGAGGCCTACCGCTGAGGGGGAGGTGACGCTTCCGCGCGACGTACTTGCGGGGGGAGTGGGAATACTGAAGCTTGTGGGATGAGGAGGCCGTGGATAGAGAGAGACGAATCAGTCCAGATCGACAGCAATACATCCTGATGCCCCATGATTGGGCTCAGGATCGAGCCGTGGCATAGAGGACAAGACAATATGATGGCCATTGACAAGCGGTGTGGGAAACGATTTACTCCCAACAAGTGACAGCAGGAAGTTGGGCCGTGGTAGAGTGACAGACAGGATCATCTGGAATCAGGCGAGGTGGCGAGGGGGACGAAAAGGAGCCACAATCGGCACAATACATGCATGTTGAGCTGTAGTGGGAATCGGCGTTAGGCTCGGGTTGAG